GTTCACGGATTGGAAGGCTCAATATAGTTAAGGTGTCGGTTCTTCCCAAATTGATATACAGGTTTAATGAGATTCTGGTTAAATTGTCAGCAAGGTATTTTTTAGATAGAGAGACAATTTTGTAAAATTGATGTTGAAAAGCAAAGAAATTAGCGTAGCTAAAACAATTTTGAAAAAAAAATAAAGTGGGCAGGATCAACCTATCCAATATCAAAGTTGATTATAAAGCTACAGTAGTCAAGATAGTGTGATATTGGCACACAGAACAATTTCTAGTCTGTGGAGCAGAATAGATAACTGAGAAATAGATGTGCAAAAATATGTCCAATTAATTTTTGACAAAGGAGCAAAAGAAATTCCATGAGAGCAGGACAGCCTTTTCAACAAATCATACTGGAACAACTGGACACCTGTAGGCAAAAAATAAACCTTGACCTAAAGCTCAGTCTTTATATAAAAATTAATGCAAAATTAATTACGGAGTTGAATGTAAACCTGTACAACTTCTAGAAGAAGAAAAAATAAGAGAAAATCTTTGAGAATTGGGACTAGGCAAATGTTCTTAGACTTGACACCAAAAACATGACCCATAAAAAGAGAATTTGATAAAAGTGGAAATCATCACAATTAAAAACCTTTGCTCTGTGAAAGATGCTGCTAAGAGGCTGAAAGGACAAATTACAGACTACAAGAAAATATTAGCAAATCACATATCCAATAAAAGACTTCTGTGTAAAATAAAGAACTCTTAAAATGCAACAGTAAAACCAAAAAAAAAATCCAATTAAAAGTGTACAAAAGACATGCACAGACCTTTTGCCAAAGAGGATAAACAGAAACTTGTACACAAATGTCCATGGTAGCTTTATTCTTAATAACCGCAAACTGGAACTTCTCCAATTGTCTTTCAATGGGTGAGTGGCTAAACAAACTATAGTACATCCATACCATGGAACATAACTTACCAGCAGAAAGCAACTATGAATACATGCAACAACTCGGATGAATCTCAGGGAAATTATGTTGAGTAAAGAAAGCTAATCTCTAAAGGATACAAAGTGTATGATTCCATTATATAATATTTGTGTAACAACATAATTATAGAGATGGAGAACAGATTAGTGCTTGCCAGGGGTTAGGGTGGAAGAGAGGGTGTGGGCGAAATCATAAAAGGGTAGCGGGGGCGGGAGGGGGGCAGTCTTATGATGATCCAGTTAAGTATCTTAATGTGGTAATGATTGAACAAAGCTATACATAAGATAAAATTGCATCCCAGAAAACTCTTCAATCCCTGACAAACCAGGACAGCTGGTCACTCTCGCAGGGGCCATCCTGCAACCCTTGCAGCTCTGAGGAGTTTGGGCTTCACCTAGAAAAAAAATCTAGGTCCTCTGGCTTCTTAGGAAGAAGAGCTTATAGGCATCAGAGCTAGAAGGAGCTACTACATCATTGGGGCAAGAGAGTGGCCCAATGTGACAGGCTGGCCAGATATTCACCAGACTCTGGTTTTCCTCCTGAGCACGTGGCGAGACTACATTTTCCAGCCACCCTTGCAGGTAGGTGTGGTCATGTGATTGCATTTTGGACAATGGGGTGTGGGGAGACATGCTCTGTCCCTTTCATAGGTGGTCCTCTGAGCCCTGTCCCTTCCACAGAGACTTTAAGCCATATACTGAAGAATGCAGAGCACAAGCTGCAAGGGACCTGAGTCCCTGCTATCCCACGGAGAAGGATTTGCTGATCAGGAACATGCACTATGAGGGTAATATATTGCCATTATACCCATTTTCATCTATTTATGACAGTGTCCAGTGGTTCCTTAACTGACACCCCTGATGTGCACACCTCCGGGGGATGCCATCAGCACCACTGGCCTCACTGGCCTCCCTGGATGCCTACATTGGGGGAAGTGAATCAGAACATACTGGGATTCCCAGACAGCCTCCTATAACTACACAGAACCCAAGACCCTCTAAGCATCTCAGGGTGGCCTGGGGCCTTGAGCTCTGGACCTCAGAACACTAGAAATATCAGATTCTGAAAGGACTGGAAGGGCTCTCAGAGAACCCAAAATCCCATCTGTGCCATTGAATAAATAGGGGAACTCAGCCCATGAGAGCAGGAGATACTTGAGGTACTACAGTGAATCAAGGGATAAGTGAGAGATCATTCATTCATTCTTGTATTCATTCCACAAATATTTATTAAGCACTTTCTGTGTCAGGCACAAGGATAAAATAGAAGATTCCTGCCCTCATGGAACTCACAAACAAGTTACAAACATGGGGAGGCTGGGTGGAGCTTGGTACTGGGGAGAATAAAGCAGGATAAGGGGACACGGGGAATGGGTGTTCTACTTTATCTGGAGTGGTCAGAGTGCCTCTCTGAAGAGGTAACCTTGAATGGAGTCAGCCCCTGAGGATATCTGAGGGAGAATTTTCCAGGCAGAGGGAACAGCAAAAGCTCTGCTAAGGACTCATGGCAAACAGAGTTTGAGAAACAGGAGTCCTGGAGCAGAGGGAGTGGTGGGGGAGAAGGTGGGGGGAGAAGCAGTGAGAGGCTACCGCCTGCAGAGCTGGGGGGCTGTCAAGTAGTCCTGGCCTCTGCATGACTCTCGATTCACATTGCTCCTCTCTGGCTCTGATCACCTGGGCGCTTTTTTGCTCTGGACTTGAGGGACTTCGGGACTGGGGGTGGTTGGGTAGGAACTGACTTCCAAATTTCTAAAGTTTGATCTTCTGGGGTCACTTCATTTTTCCAAGTACCTGAATTTCATGTATAAGTCAAGAGACTCCTGCATCTGGAGAATTCATTCATTCATTCATTCATTCTACAAACATGCTGAGCACCTGTTTTGTGTCTGGCGCATGCTGAGCTCTAGGGACCCAGCTATGACCTCATCTTTGGTCTCAGAGAGTTGACAATTTAGAGGAAGGGACAGACACATTCCTATTTACCACCTGGTGTGATCAAAGCTGTGATAAAGAGACTGTGGGAGCTCAGAGGAGTCCCTGGACCTGGACTGAGACCCAGAAAAGTCTTCCTGGATGGGGGCATATCCAGGGCTGGGTCCTGAATGAGTCAGGGAGAAGGGGGATGGGATGTAGGCCGGCATTCCACACATGAAAGGTCTAGAGGTATGAGATGCCTGGAGATGTTTGTGAAATGCTGCAAGGAGTTCAGATCTCTGGGATTTCAAGGAGTGAGGGATGGGGGTAGTGGAGAGCACTAAGATCAGAGAAGTCAGAACAGGGCCTTGTAGGCCATGATGGAGGAGACCATGCTGGGTCCTCTGGATGCCCATCTCAGCTCTGTCCTAGCCTGAGTTAGGCACCCCCAGTCTAGAGGCTTCAGTGAGCCCATCTGTGAAATGGAGCCATTTGGGTGGGATGGCTCTGACATGTCACCAAGATCCTTAGGATGTTGTCTGCCAGTGTTCATGGATGGAGCCCCACAGAAGCATGGCCAGGCCAGAGCTTCGTCACTGTCTGTGTGTTTCCCTCCTCCTGGCATGTCCTCAAATGTCCTCATTGCACTGGGGACTTGCTAAGGATGGGGAGAAGGAGCAAAAGAAGGCAACACCAGCGTTTACCTCCTTTTTCTTTCAAACCAAACCACACTCCTAGGAAAAAGGAAGGACAGTTGTTCAGCAAAAGCGTGTCAAGGGTAATTTCCTCTGTGTCCCAAGTGGTGGCTAAGAGGGCAGGCGCTGAACCCAGACAGACAGCTGACCTGCTGTGTGGCCTTAGGGAAGTCATTGGGCCTCTCTGAACGCCCTTTTCCTCCCCTGTAACAGGGGGCTAATCAGAATAGAACCTCACTGGATTGTTTTGAAGATTATGTGTGAAGTGCTTAACACAACACCAAGCACATAGGCCTCAAAAATGATAGTTAGCATTGTTATTATTTTTTTCGTTTTGTGAGTAAGGCAACAGAAGGCAGGAGTGTGCAGTTTGTTGGGTGGGAGGAGGGACTTGGCTCTGAAAGGGTTAATATCAGACTAACTGGGCTCCCAGTCCCACAGATAAGGTTGGAGAAAACACAGTTCAGGTCCCCAGCCCCTTCACTATAGAATTTATGAGGTGCTGGTTACTTTGAGTCAAAGATTAGGGGCTTCCGCCAGGCTGTGCAAGAAAAATTCAGGGTCAGTGGCCAGAAAGGACTCTTTTGAAAAAAACAGCGCAGAGAGAAACAGCCAGGCGTCAGGGAGCCCCACATACACCCGGACTCTGCAGGTGGAGAGCAGAGGGATGCGCGCGAAGACAGAGACAGAGAAAAAGTAGTGCCAGAGGGCCAGCCAGGTGGAGACAGAAACAGTGAGCCCCGAGTGAAGAGGACGTTGGCAAGAAAGAAATTAAAGAACAGACCAGGGGGCGGGGTGAGGGAAGAGGCAGCCGAGGAGGAGGACGTGAGACAGACAGAAAGACAGAGAAAAACGAAGTTTAGGAGTGGCCCTTAAGGGCCAGATGCGGGAGAAAGAAACAGAAAATTGAAGGCGTGGAGTGAGGTGGGAGAAGGTGCAGAGAGCAGAGGGATGTGGGTCACTGGGCCACCGTGCGTCTGTACCTGTGTTTGTATGTGTGTCTGTACCTGTGTCTAGATGGCAGTAGGTACGTAAGTAGGAGAGTGCGTGGGCAGGAACGACGCCAGACAGCGGACTGAGGGACAGACCGACCTCCTGCCCCTGGACTGACGCCCACCCCTCTCACCCCCAGACCGCGCGCGCGGGCCGGGAGCGGGTTAATGCACCGCCCCGCCGCCAGCTCCTCCCCGCCAGAGCAGAGTCCCAGCTCCGCCGACGCCCTCACTCAACCTAGTTGCCAGCGCCTGGGCGGACGGCGGGTCCCTGACGGCTGGACCGACCCCGCGCCCTGCGGATGCGCCGGGAGCGCCAGGAGCAGCCCTCGCGCTCGCCGCGCCGCCGCTGGGTCGCCACCCAGCCGTCAGGCCTCCCCGGGAACCCCCGCGGGCGCCACCTGGGTGCCAGGAGCCCCGCGCCCGCCCGGACCAGGCTGCCCAGATGCGGGTGCCACTCTGCCTGTTGCTGCTCGTCGCCCACGCCGCGGACATGCTCCCCCTGAACCGAAGGAAAAAGCAAGGTACGAGGGGCAGCCGCACAGGGTGGCCAGGCAGGCGCTGCGGGGCAGACAAGGGAATGGCCCTTGGGGCATCTGCCTTGCGCCCGGTGCTCTGGGCCATTGACTCCTCCCAACAACTGTGAGTCCCACTTTACAGGTGGGGAGACTGAGGCCCCAGGGCATTCTTTGCGGAACGCTGAACCAAGCAGGCTCTCCAAGGAGGGCAGGTACTGGCGGGTCTCTCTCACTGTTCCCACTCGCTATAGCATAGCAGCGTTGCTAGAAGGAAGAAGGGTGGCTCAGTGCAGACAGGGCACTGGGACTAGGCGATGGAGTTAGTGGCTTAGAAGCCATCCCACGCATCCATGATGAGCCAGAAGGTGACATAAAGAGCCCGAGGCTAGGTGTCCAGATGCCCCAATCCCATCACCTACCCTGACTCACTGTATCGCCTCTGGAAGTCAGTGAGGCTTGGTGGGCCTCCTTCGGGTGAAGACATGAGCTGCAAGAGCACAGGGAGACCTGAGACCAGAGTTTAAGTCCTTTTATTTGGGGGATAACCTGGAAGAAGTTGAGCCCCTTCAAGAGTGTTTCCATCCTGACCTCCTAGGGACATGAGGAAGATGAACCAAGGTTCAGACTATAAATGGACCTGGGGCACAAAACCAGGGGATCCTTGCACCCTCACCTCAGGGTCCTAGACCACCCACCGCCTGTCACTGCGAGAGTCAGAACACCCTCAGGAGGTGGGTTTGAGGCTGCAGAACCAGGGTTGGTAGAGCCCATGGGTGGAGGAGGGCAAGTGGGCCAGCAAATTTCTGCCTGAGCCACGCAACCCTTCAACCTCCAGGTGCCAGTCTATGAATCAATAGTCAAACGCCAACCACTGTGTCAAGAATTTTCCACACAGTAAGGGAATCCAACATACGAGTAGACAGTCGCCCCACTTTATAAAGCTGGATGCCAAGTTTCAGATAGGTTGAGTAACTTTGCTAAGTTGCCCAGCAGGCGAATAGAAGACCTAGTGTCTTCTTTCTTTTCAGCTCTAGTGTTAGGTCTGAGCAAGGCTACGTGGGAATGAGAAAGAGAGTCTGCCCTCTGGGGACTTCTAGTCCATTTGAGTGAACAGCCTTACATATGGACGCAATCACTCCTGGAGTAGAGCAGAATGCAAAGAGGGGCTGTGAGAGAACTGGGAGGTGGGATTGGGTGGAGCAGGGAGACTGTGGCCCAGGGGCTCCAATCTCAGGTGTGACTGGACAGATGGACCCAGGGAGTAGAGAGGTGGGTGGGCTTCCAGTGAGCTGGGGGTGTTAGGGACCTCCTAGGGACACTCCTCTGTAAATTGCCATGATTTAGTGGTTAAGTGCACAGGCTCTGAAGTCAGATGGTCTGAGTTCAAATTCCGGCTTCTCCAGTTACCAGCTGAGTGACGTTGGGGAAGTCATTTTGACTCTCTGAGCCTTAGTTTACCTTTCTGAGGGTCTTTTAGAAGGTCTCTAAGATCTTTCTCAGTTCTAAAAAAGACCAAAACAAACAAAAAAAACTTTCTCCTTATTGGCTTCTCTATAAAATAGGAATAATAATCTTAAGTATGCAACTCACAGGGCAAATGTGGGTAAGACTGAATGAGTTTTAGTGGGTATATGTCAGGTGAGTAGCTGAGTACACAGGCTTTTAGTGGACAGTTTTAAGTATTATTCATTCTCATTTCCTGTCCATTGTGTCCTTGGCTACTCCCCACACCCTAGCAAAGGAAAGGGGAGATATGTAATTTCAGGATGAGGAAACTGAGATTCAGAGAGGGAAACTGATTGTCCAAGGTTGCACAGCAGGTAAGTAACAAAGCAGGCTGAATCCCAACCCCCCTGACAGGACCCTGAGGCGTCTCCTGAGCTATGTTGGTCTTCCTTTCTCAGAGCTTCAGCCACCATCTAAAAAGGAGCTGGTTTAGAAGATCTTTAAGATGCTTTTCAGTTCTAAAAAGACACACGCATGCACACAGAATAAAGAAAAATTCCAGTCCCTTCCCACCATTCCCAGTTGCTCAGTGAGGAGGTCGGGCGTGGTTGCTCCTGATATGGCCCCAGTTTGGTGAGAGGGCTCTCGGGGTCCCTCCCTATGGTAGTTAATCTCTTCTGTCTGGGACGCACACATGCCCAGTCCAGCATCTTCAGAGAGAGGCTGTGTCTCCACTTATCAGCCAGGTACCATGGAGATAGTCTTGGATTTCAGTCCCACCCCCAACCCCTTTGTATTGGGTGACCTTGGGCGAGTGGATTGAGTCCCCACCACCACCTCCCATAGTCTTGGTTTCCCCATTGGCACTGGAGTTAGGGGTGGGAGGTAGAAAAAGCCTTCCTGTAGCATATTCTACAAGGTGGTCATAGGAATCCTAGCCAAGTAGGTTTGGGAAAGGCTGGGTTTCGCATATTTCTTGACTGCGGGACTTATCAGAGCATTCATGGTGACAAGGGAAGGCTAGAGACTAGGACCTTTCCCAAACAAATTACACTTCAGAGACCATTTTTCATAAGGCAGCTGCTTGGCAATTCCACACGAGATCCCTGAGGGTCTTACCGGCTTTGACATTCTGGTCTAACTTTGGCAGGAGAATGTGTCCTGGAGGCAGCAGGGTGTGGGCAGTGCTTCATTTGTTCATTCGTTCGTTCACTTGGTCATTCAGCCACGTGTTGTAGGGTAGACCCTGTGCTGGGCTCTGTGTTGGGAACCAGGAGGATTGCAAGGTGAACAGACCTGGAGCCTGCCCTTGAGGAGCTGCCCGTGTGGAGGGATGCGCTTCCTCTGCCCTGCCCCGGCCTCCCCTCCGTGCTGAATCCTTGGCCCCAGCCTTCCGCGAGGTCAGGAGGAACGACTCCCTGGGCCCAGCGGCCACCCTCCGGGCCTGTCTCCCACAGACCCAGGCTTCCTCAGGCTCGGGCCTCACTGTTGCTTGATGAAACCCAATTTTTCTGTTTCTAAGACAAGAAAGAAAGAAAGAAAAGCCTTGAGAAAGTTCTTGGATCTCAAGTGTCTATTACAAAACAATATTTTGATTAATTAAGTATAAATAAATCAGAAGCAGATGGAGACATTTCTCTTAAAGCATGCTGGGGTGTCCTGGCAATGGAAGAGTTGGGGGACTAAGGGGGCTCTGGTCTGCACCCCCAACCCCAACGTAGAGCTTCATTTAGGCAATGAGGAGAAGACAGGCTGTAACTGACTTTCCCCAACGTCCAAGGCCTGCTGGGGAGGCGGCTTGGTGAAGGCGAGAGTCCCCCACATGCTCGTGATGCTTTTAGATCCTTCTAGACAGGAGGCAACCAGGGACAGAGGGAGGAGCTATGGAATTCAGATAGCTCTGGGTTTAAATCTAGAGACTTCTCCTGTCCTAGTGTATAGCCTTAGGCGGGCCATGTGCCTTCTCTTATCCAAGGTTCCACATCTGAGAAATGGGAACTATTGTAGCTACCTCTTTGGCAGTTGGAAAGATCTTTCCCAGTCTCAGAGGGAAGACGCTTGAAGGTGCTTCCTAAGGGTTCAGCCACTTCCTCCTCCCACTTTATAGCAGAGTGCGATGTTTCCTGTGCTGGGAGGAGGGGAACCTCTCATGGGTTGAATCTCACCTCTGCCCCCTCCCCTGTCGGAGCCTCTTTTCCTTTATTTAAAAAAGGACTCTGCCAGCGCCCTCTCCAGAGGCTGGTTAGGTGGACTAAATATAATAATTCTTTGTAAACTGCAAAGCCCTGTGTGGGTGGCCAAGCAGGCAGCTTTGCCCGCTGTGTGTAGACAGAGAAGCTGAGACCAGGTAAGCAGGTGCCGAGGCAGTGGCAGCAAAGGGGAAGGACCTACTTGTCTCCGGGTCAGGGCCATGGCTGGGCCCAGAGCAAGAAGCATCCCCCTGAATGCTGGCATCCAGGTGAAACCAGGTGAAGATGCACGTCAGGGGCAGTCGTCGAAGGGGAAGCAAACTCCTAAAGGGCAGAGTGAGGCATGAGAACTTCATGTGGAGCGCTCGGGGAATGGCGCTGTGTATCAGCAGAATGCTGTCTTAGGCGAGTCCCTCTGCCCCTCTGGGCTTGGGTTTCTTCATAAAACAAGGGCTGGCTGAGCAAAGAGAAGCAGAATACTTGGCACATAGTAAGTGCTCAATAAAATAAGCTCTGCTTACCAGCCTCCTCCCCCTACAGCCAGTTCTGAAGCCAAACTTGGGGCTCAAAGAAAATGCTGTTTTCACCTCACATGGCCCCCACCCCCCCAAGGGAACCCACATGACTCTCCCATGGGTGGAAACCACCCAGCCTCCACCCAGTCTCCAAAGTAGACCCTTGAGACCACTTAGTGAGGACCGGCCATGTGCAGGAGCTCTGCATATGGGTCGTCAATCCTCCCTATGGAACTGCCTTGTGTTAAACCCATTTCCCAGACAAAGGAACTGAGGCTCAGAAAGGGGCAGTGACCTTGCCCAGGAGCTTCCAACAGCTGAGCTGGGATGTGACCCAGAGTTTTGGAGGCTCCAAAGCCTGTGCATAGAAATAGAAGTGAATCTTGTTAATGACTTGCCAAGGGCTGCACAGCAGAGGCATCTGAGAGGAGCCTCATCAGAGCGGTAGGATTTAGGACTTTGTCAGGCAGAGGTGGCAGCAGGGTAGGTGCTGGGGACTCTGGCAAGAGAAGGGGAGGCTGCAGCCATGTGGGAAGGGTTCAAGGAGCTGTGTGGCCAGAGGAACCGGAGGTCTGATTGCAGACAGGGCCAGAGGCAGTCACGGAGGGCCAGGGATGACAGTCGCCTGTTACCATTGTCACAAAGAAATATTAATTGGGACCTTCCTCTGGGCTGCGCCCTGGAGTAGGTGTTGAAGCACAGAGATGTGCCCTACCATCTTGGCTGTCAAAGAGCCCAGCATATCCTTGAGATGCTGGGAAAGGATCCATCAGAAAGCAAGAATGAGAAGAATCTCGCTGCCCATCGGCCCAGCCTTGAGAGGCAGGTCAGTGGTGGTCCCAGTCTCAGCTAAGGA